GGACCTTAAATGCTCACCAGGCCCAACTGGTTGTGCTGAACTTATATGGGCCTGTGAGAAAAACATAAAAAGGAGAGTAGCAGAAAGTGACAACTGATCCACCCACCCAAAAACACTGAAAGTTAGTGAGAGCCCAGAGTGGAGTTTACTAGAGCACCACCATATCAGGCAAGCTTGAATTTACAGGGGGGATAGCATTAAGATGGCTGTTGTTTGAGGGTATCATCATGTAGATTAACCAAACTGAATGGGAATGCAAACATCTGCAAATATACAGTAAACTCCAGTGTGGACAAGTCCTGCGTTGTACAAAAGTCATGTTTCAGGACTGTGCCCCTGCATTTATCTTCTTAAGTACCTTCTTCAGTTCGGTCTGGTGGTGAGCGGAATTGTCCCTGATCGCTTCCAGATTTGTTTGTAGGGAAGCTAGATGGTGTTACTATGTTATTGTTTTGCCCTTATTATGAAATGGTTTTTGTAGTGTTTGTTTAAATGGTTTCTCAGGTTCAAACTGCAACGCCGCTATGAAGGTCACTGGGTAACCTTGGGCCACCCACCAAGTCTCAGCCTAACTTACCTCAAAGGGTTGTTGTGGGGATTGAATGAGCAGGGGGGAGACCATGTATATCACCTTGTGCTCCTTGGAGAAATAAAATAAAATAAATAAATGAAGAATAAATTTTGTTAAGCTCCTCACAGAGGCCAGATTGAGCATAAATTTAACAGCATGCATTTCATTTGTTTGGATTTATGTGACTTTGAACATTCTGATCTATTAATTTATGGAGACAGAACCACTTTTTCAAGAAGTTTGAGGAAGTTTGCATGCTTAATGACAGCTGTCTGTAAGTCCTCTCTGTTTGGAAGCCAGGAAGAGGCAATTTCATGGCAAGGCAAAATGGTAGGCATCTAGGAGAGAACTCTCTTTTGTAAGAGAGTAGGTTTGATGTTTAGCTCATTTTTCAACCTCCAAACAATAGAAACTCCAAACATGACAAAGCAAGAGATTGGTGAGCTATGATCTCTGGCTGTACTTCTGAAGGGGAAGTGCACACCTTCCCTCCATTGGCTGCCCAAATATCTGACTGCTCTTATTTTTGCCACAGTGTGATGGCGCATTACCTTCAGTGCACCTATTGTCTATTGCTTCTGCAAGTGTGAGGTTGGAGACATGATGTACTTTGCAGACTTCTCACTCTGCAGCCATTTCAAATCTAAATCTAACTAGTATCTCTATTTTGGGTTTGCCATGAAAATAAAAAGAGATGTTCAAGATACTGGGGAGGCGGGGGCACTTCCTTTTAGTCGATTACACCCAGACAAAAAGTAATGGAACTGAAAGAAGGGCTTTTTTTACTCTCTCTTTTTAATTTTGCTGAGTGACAGAAGATTTAAATGCAAAGTGGATCTAATGCACACCCTGAAGTCAGCTGGCAGTATGCAAATGACCTGTCAGATTAAAATCTGAATGAAAGAGATAACAAGCTTATCTTCATAACAAAAGAGTCTTACGGGCAAACTATTTGACGCACTGTTGATGTTTGTTTTAACCCGTAGGCTTTGGACAGGGCAATATATATTGCAAAGGGGCTCCTGCGCCTTCTCCTTCGCCACCCCTCCCGGTTTGCAGAGCGGGCGTGTTTGTGTTTGCACTTTGCAACAAAAGGCAAGTACTACAGCACAATACATGAAAAAGCCAGCAAGCGAGGGTTTACAACCCTTGCTTTCAAAGGGACTGCGGGATTGCACACCAGCAATATAGCAAGCCAGCCAGCCCATAGGTCATCTCTCTCTCTAGCAACCCCACAGCTGCAGTGAGAATGAGCAAACACAGCAGCAGGGGGAAGATTTAAACCCGGGAGGGGGCGAGGCGTGCGATTTATTCATCTGGCACGTGCGGAGGGGCCGGGTCTGGATCAGCTGTATTTAGTTAGTGAAAGGGCCAAAGAAAAGGAAGCAAGCGAAGTTCGCCAGAGAGAGGGAGGGGAGGGGGTAAAAAAAAGGAAAGACTTTGAATACCCCTACGGTTTAGAAGAAAGAAAGAAAGGGAAAGCTGCAGGTGTTTGCAAGGCGGCGGCTGCCGTCGTGGAGCCACAAGGCCAGGAATTAGCAAGGGAGAGGCAAGTTGCAAAGGGGCTAATGGTGTTCGGGACAGGGCTTTGCATTTTTCTTGCCCTTCTTCAATGCCTGGATGATCCGCGGCCCGCAGGCCGAGGCGGCCGGGCGCTGCCAACGCACGTGGCTTACTTCAAAGGGGAAGGAGGTCTGGGGCAGGAGACGGGCCCCGCTCGGCGCGTCATGGCGGGAGGCGCGCGTGGGCTCCAGAGCCTCTTCCTCGCGTAGGGAGGCTGGGCGGCCCTTCTGGCCTTGCAGGCTGCAGCCCTCGCCGCCCCCCTCCCGCTCTGCACAATGAAGCGTGTGGGAGCATTCAGCCCAAATTCCTCGCCCGGCTGGTTTTTTACTCCCATTCAAGCCCTTCAAAACCCTTTAAGCTTCGTTAGCCAGCTAGTGCCAGAGGCAGGCCGCGCGCCCGTTTCCCTAAACAAAAACAAAATAGCCAAGCGAAAGCTCCCTCAGTTCGCCCTTTCCCAGGCAACCTTTATACTGATTAATGTTTTCAGAAAGTTTGCGCGAAGGCTAAGGGTATCTGCTGCTCAGTGCGCGTTCCTTCCGATTTGTTTCTGTGGGGTTTATGGGCCCCTCCAGACTTGCGCATTTCATGGTGGCTGTTTTCCTCAATACATACGTCATGCAGTTAAAGTTAGTAGTGGATTTATAGTGGACCCGCCACACATCCTCCTGCTTTATTTATTGTTCTTCATCCTCTCCAGTGTTACCATGTGGTTACCCTCTGGAGTTAACCACTCTTGCACTACAGTGCAACAAAAGTGGGTGGCACCCACACTTTGCACTCTTTTCTGGCCCCTGCTAAAAAAAAACCCTTTTAAGGCAAGCCTATCCAGATATGTAGACACTGTCATGAGTTATAATCCATTTTAACTTACTATTTTGGTTATTTTTGAAGACCGAACCCTGTTGCATGCAGCGATAGACATACAGCCTGGTGATCTGTGACCCTCTCTGCATGAGGGATAACGTTACTTGTAGGTCATGCGTGGGTTACAAAGACTAAAACTTACTCAAATGAAAATTGCATATGACCAGAATAATTCCTAAGAAAGCAAAAACCAGGTCAAAGCAGTTAGCTTTTGATTCAATTTGATTTAATATTTTATTCCACTTTTTGAACAACAAATGTTGAGCTCAAAGCAGTTCACAATAATTGCAATAGCATTGTGGAGGGGCAAACCATTATAAACACTATAATATCAAACATAGTAACATAAAGCAAACAACAAATTCATCAAAACAATACAATTCAGTAAAATAATAATAACTACAATTCTTCCATTCTTACCATTCCATCTAGTTAAGAACTCAGAAACTGCAATAGTAAGAGATCTTTGGCCTCAGAGACCATGTCATATCAAAGTGGGGTTTCCAGTGCATTGCCACCCAAAATGTCCAAATGCAATGTAACTCTTGGAAAGAGAGACGTCCTAAAAGGATGTCTATGCAGTGCTTGTACATGTTTAAGGATTGCTGTCACAGGGAGCTGCTTCATTTTGGAGACCCAGATGTTTTCTAGGGTAGTTCTCCTTATGCTCCAGGGATGATTAGTCAATCAGATAGGATCCCAGAACTGAAACTCCAGTGTGGGGGAATTAAGAAGAACCTAGGAACAACTGGAATATACCCAAGGAAAAACAACAGGCTTTACACAGTATCTGAATAAGGGGCTTTGGCAGGAGCTCAGAGGAGCAGTTTAGAAGCATTGGCAAGTTGTACTGCAGTAGGCATGGAGTATCCGTGCTTCCTTATTTACTGCTTGACTGGAACAAGAAAGAATTGAAATAAAGATACAAGGACTGAAGGCTTATTTAGATTTCAGCTTCTTTTTTGGTGGGGTGGGGAGAGGCAAGAGCAGCATAACAGAATCTTACTTCAGTTCAGGAGGATTCACTCAGAACAGTTCTTGCAGGATTGACAATGCAACTACGGTAATTATGCTTTGAGCACTTCTCCCGGAGATTTTATGATGTTCTGTTTGGAGGCAAGGGTCCACACTGCAGAGCCCAGCAATTGCCTGTCTGTGAAGGCAGCACAATCTGGATAATACAAGGGGTTACTCAGAAGTGGTCTTTCTTTGGCGATCACTCTTAGCTGAGTAAGATTGTTTTCCATGAAAACGGTCTTAACAGTGAGTCCATAGGTGACTGGAGGCCAATTCTGGATCCACATGTCCTTCCACAGTGGGAATACAGGTTTCCGGGCGGGAGTTGATCACGGTGAGGGTTTGCCAAACGTGCCTTCCTCTTAGCTCTTTTTTCCTTTTCACCCTGAGTTTGTGCTTCTTCAAAGTCCATGACACCTTTGGTAAAGGCTTTTCTCCAGTTGGAGTGTTCGCAGGCCAGTGTTTTCCAGTTATCAGTGCTTATACAGTCATACCTTGGGTCTCAAATGCCTTGCGACTTGAACGCTTTGGCTCCCAAATGCTCCAAACCCGGAAGTGAGTATTCCGGTTTGCGAACGTTTTTTGGAAACCGAACATCTGATGTGGCTTCCAATTGAGTGCAGGATGCTCCTGCAGCCAATCGGAAGCCGTGCCTTGGTTTTCAAATGTTTTCAGAAGTCGAATGGACTTCCGGAACAGATTCCATTCGAGAACTGAGGTACAACTGTACTACATTTTTAAATGTTTGTCTTGAGAGAATCTTTAAACCTCTTTTGTTGTCCACCAGTATTTTGCTTTCCATTCTTAAGTTGGGAATAGAGTAGTTGCTTTGGAAGAGGGTAAATAGGCATCCGCACAACATGACCAGTCCAACGAAGTAGATGTTGAAGAATCATTGCTTTGACACTGGTGATCTTTGCTTCTTCCAGTACACTGATAATTAGTTTGCCTGTCTTCCCAATTGATGTGTAATTTTTTTTTTTTTGGAGAAACAATTGGTGGAATCATTTGAGGAGTTGGAGATGGTGTTTATAAGTGGTCCATGTTTCATAAGCGTACAGTAAAGTTGGTAGTTCAATAGCTTTCTAAACAAGCATTTTGGTTTCCCTGTGAATGTCCTGGTCCTCAAACACTCTTCACTTCCCCACCTTCCACAGTCCAAAAGCTGCTCAGGCTTCCTAATGGCTGCCATTTACAAGCCCAAATCATATATTCTATCCTAATGTGTATGAGCAAGTGGAATTACACGTTGTACACATTGAGGTTGGAGATGGGTTTGCACCAGGGATGGGGAATCTGTGATCCTCTGGTTGGACTCCCAAGTCCCATCCGGTGTGGCCAGTGGTCAGGGATGATGAGAACTGCAGTCCAATATCATCTGGAGTACTACAGGTTTCCCATTCTCAATTTTATGCAGAGGTTACTATAGGGAACCCAAAATACTTTTCCAGATGGCTATCACCAAAGTGAACATTGTGGGGAAATCACATTTTCTTAGCACTCAAATGTAATCCTTTGTTGCTGAGTTTGATGCTGTTTCCCCCCAGCTAATGCTGCTGTTGCAATCCTAGGTGTTACATGGCTGCAGTTGCTTGAGTTACATGGCATCCCTGGCCCTGATCAGAGCTTGTCCCATTGTCTTGTGACACCACAGCTCCTTAAAAAGCTATACTGGGCCCCCACTCTGTACTTTAAATCTGTTTACAAAGACCTTTAAAATTCAGTTTTGTTGCTGTATTTATTTTATTTTAGTTTGTTTGTTTGTTTTTAATATACAGTGGTACCTCGGTTTAGTTTGACCAAACTGCGGGAGGCAGTGGAAGACAGAAGTGCCTGGCGTGCTCTGGTCCATGGGGTCACGAAGAGTCGGCCATGACTAAATGACTAAACAACAACACCTCGGTTTAAGAACAGTTTGGTTTAAGACCGATTTGGTTTACAAACTTGGCAAAACTGGAAATAGTGTCTTGGTTTGAGAACTTTACCTCAGTCTACGAACGGAATCTGAACGGTGGAAGGGCACTGGCGGTGGGAGGCCTCATTAGGGAAGGTGCGCCTCGGTTTAAGAATGGTTTCGGTTTAAGAACGGACTTCTGGAACAGATTAAGTTTGCAAACAAAGGTACCACTGTATTGTGGTGTTGAATAGTTGAGCTTCTATTGAACCCTGCCCTGGGCACAAGAAGCAGAAAAGCAGTTAATAGACGTAATTTTGTGACATGAAATGCCCTCTTCCTCCACAGCCGTGCACCTGCCATTCCATGGAATTTTGACTTTTTCTCTTAATTATTAATTTTTATAAGGATGGCGACTCTCTCCCCGGTTTTCAACTTTCCAAAGAATCAGTTCTTACCTCCCTTACCTTATGTGAAACAAAGATGAAACGTTCTTCATACTCCATGCTCCATCCAGAAGGACAGGATAATTAGATGTGACAGCTCACTGGAGGCATGATAATGGCTAAAATGTGCTTCTTAAGGGTGGAGGGAGGATATACAGTGGTATCTCGGGTTACATATGCTTCAGGTTACATACGCTTTAGGTTACACACGCCACTAACCCAGAAATAGTGCTTCAGGTTAAGAACTTTGCTTCAGGATGATAACAGAAATCGTGCTCCGGCGGCGTGGCGGCAGCAGGAGGCCCCATTAGCTAAAGTGGTGCTTCAGGTTAAGAACAGTTTCAGGTTAAGAACGGACCTCCGGAACAAATTAAGTACTTAACCCGAGGTACCATTGTACTTTGCAGGATCAAACTGATAACCCAGAGTAGCAATCAGCCTCTTAATGCATGCGGGCGAACTTTCTGAAGATGAAGTTGGGAGCGTTGAACCAGGAGCGGGGATACCCAGGGTTCAAATCCCCTGCTCAGCATACACCTCTTTGGGTGACCTTGAGCCAGTTGCTATCTCTCAGCCAGGCCTACCTCTCAGGGTTGTTGTGAATATGAAGTGGGGATGGGGAGAGCCCTTGTGCTCACTGGAGCAGAAGCAGGACATAAATGAAAATTCTAAAATGCTCTAACCCTTCTCCCCCAAGATACTGCCAGGCCACAGCGGTGCTTTTACAGGAAGATTCCCTGTAAAATCGAGAGGCTTGGAAAAAACGGTAGTTATTTGCTCATATGCATACAATCCATCTTTTCTAACAAACAGAATGAGGTCATGCAAGGACATCTGGTATTAGGGCAATGCACCATATTGGATTGCATTCCACTCCACCAAGCCACTTTGGAGTAAAGCTGCACTTACTTTACATGTAACTTTAGGGATGACATACAATCCCCCTCCTTGTGCTGGGGGACTGGGCAGAAAAGAGTTAGTGGGGTTTTAGGAATTTTGCTGGTGTATTTTGGAAGAGGGGGAGTGGGAGTGGAGAAGATCCCTTGGCATTCCCAAACAACTGCGAATCGACTGGCTGATACTTCCAGGGGCCATTTAAATATGGAATAAATAAGGAAGATGTTGTTCATTTTGTGTGAGTGTCTAATCCCACATTCTGAATACAAATGGATTTAACCTTGTCCCTTCAAAAGAGCTGGGGACAATCAGAATCATCTTTACAGAAGACTGCGCCTGCTTTTAAATTAGCTTTTTAAAAAGTAGCAGCCATTCTCTCCTTTCCGTTTTCCAATTCCCATTCACTGTCAGCGCAGATAAATACAGGCAGGCCAGGGCTAAAAGCTGGCCTAAAGTTCAAAGAAAAGTACTGGGCCTCCAAAAACGCCTGCTGCCAAATGTTGCTGGTCTGAAGCCATGCAAGTACTGCATTTGGACCCACTGTTGTAAATAGCCAAATAAAGTGTTGTTGGTTTTATTGCATTGATTGCATCAATTATTAGAAATTGCCATGAAAGAAGTATCGTTTAAAATAAACACATTCTTAACTTTTCTTTTTAAAAAAGTGGGGGAAAGAGCTACAGCATTTGAACCTATTTGGGTTACTAGATTGCCAGTTACTATAAGTGATGGATCCCCCTCTCCCCCCAATCTATTTGCTTTCTTAAGGAATTTTCTTCCAGGATAAAACAATGGATATGTTGAATTTCAAGTTCCTGCTCACTATCATGTGAATCTCTCCCTAACCCATTTGATCCCACTTCCTAAAATTATTCTGAAAATAATAAAATGAAATGTTAATAAGCTAACGGCGCTTCAACACACAGGGGCGTTGTTCATATTATGTGCAATGACCTCAAAATGTTGCTCCATATCATTTCCCCATTTAATCAGGACTGCAGAAAATCTAATAGTAATTTTGGATTAAATGGGGGGAGGAGGGTATAGATGCTTTGGTGAGGAAGATGCTATTTGGAAACACTGAAAAAAATTCATGAGCAGCCCCAAATCCACAATAAACCAGTGTGGAAGCACCCTACATAAAATTTTACTGGACTTGCAGGTGCTATTTTTCAGTGTTTTATCACAATTTGCTAAGGGGATATATATGTCCTGGCAGACAGATTTGCTCCCCCCCCCCCCAGCAGCACGTTGTGTACCTTACTTATTGTCACTGTGTCTCTGTCTAGAAATTTGGCTGTGGAAATTGTTTGCCTTGTTTGCTTTGATTGCCATCATTATATGTTCAAACCGGCAACAAAATTCTTCTACATAGGGAAAAATTCAAGAGAAGGATGTGGAAACATGGAGCATCTCTTCAGAACTTAAGAACGTTTCGGCATTATAGCAGAAGAATATAGCCTTTACAGATACATTTTTTGCCGTGTCTAAAAGATCGTGAAGCTGAGGCTCCAATACTTTGGCCACCTCATGAGAAGAGAAGACTCCCTGGAAAAGACCCTGATGTTGGGAAAGATGGAGGGCACAAGGAGAAGGGGACGACAGAGGACGAGATGGTTGGACAGTGTTCTCGAAGCTACAAACATGAGTCTGACCAAACTGCGGGAGGCAGAGGAAGACGGGAGTGCCTGGCGTGCTCTGGTCCATGGGGTCACGAAGAGTCAGACACGACTAAACGACAACAACAAAAAACCTTTGGTCTGAGGAAGGAAAGTGCTTTACAAAGCTTAGGAGTATTAGGCTAGGTAGATGAAAGTGCACTACTGTTTCTGCTTGACATCATAGTACAATGACATCAAAGTACAAAACTGGTTAAAATACTTCTTCAAAATGAAGTGCAGTCTTCAAGCCCATTCCACCCTTTGGTGCCATGTTTGAAGTATTCATGAGTTTGTCTTTCTCTTTCTTATTTATTTTCACTATCCGGATGTCATTCAAGGTGGATAATCGCATTATTTTCATCATCATTAACACATACTTTATATTTATACAGTGCTCGTTACAACCTCCATGTTGTTGTTGTTGTTGCTGCTGTTGCTGTTGTAAAGAAGCCAAGTTAGCCAGTATTATTATCCCCCCTCCCAATTTTGCAAGTGGGGGGGCTGAGGCTAAGAGAGAGGGGGTCACCTAAAGCTCTTCCAGACAACTTGTTTATGGATCATTCATCCCGATTTGTTTTTACAAAGTTTGCATGAAGTTTATACGTTTATCCATTCATTCTGCACTTTTGTTTTGCAGTGATTGTATGACATCATGTCAGGTGATTGTTATCCCACACTTTGCAGCACATTTACTTACTGCAAAAAGGCCAGTTGGGAGCGGGGGTGGGCTCCATTAACAGATAAAACACAATAAAGTGTCAACAGCATACAGAGAATGGCTGTAGTTCAGTGAAAGAACACTTTGCATTGCCTGGAGAAGTTCCCAGGTTCAGTCCCTGGCATCTCCAGTTAGAGATGGGAATGTCTCCTACCTGAAATCCTAGTTTGCTGCTGGTCAGTGCGGACAATGCTGAGCTTAGAATTAGGGTCAGCAAACTTTTTCAGCACGGGGCCGGTCCACTGTTCCTCAGACCTTGTGGGGGCCGGACTATATTTTTTGGGGGGGAATGAACGAATTCCTATGCCCCACAAATAACCCAGAGATGCATTTTAAATAAAAGGACACATTCTACTCATGTAAAAACACACTGATTCCTGGACCGTCCACAGGCCGGACTGAGAAGGCGATTGGGCCGGATCCGGCCCCCGGGCCTTAGTTTGCCTACCCATGGCTTAGATGGATGAATGGTCTGAGTCCAAGGCAATTTCCTATGTTCCTATGAGGGGAGCATAAAAATAGGAAAACAACCAGCCCAAACCAATTCTATAGCCAATGGGCCAACTAAGCTGCAGAAAAAACTGAAACAGCTCCAGCAGACCATCTACCAAATCAAACTGGCTCCAAATAAAAAAACCGGAAGGAACAAACTGAGCTTGAACAAAACTCCATAAAGCTAAGGTAAATGGACTGACACCTAAAACAAAATAGGGAAGGTACCAGCTGGACCTCTTTTCATGAAGAGTTCATCAGGCCGTGGAAAGTATAATCCCACCTGAAGGAGGGCCACCAGGGATGCTAGTAAAAGAGCAGGCAGTTCTGTTTCCCTGATGCTTCTAAAGTCAAAAAGAGCACTTTGATTTGTGCCCATTGCACACCTGTAAACTGCTTGCTGCAAGTGAGTTTTATTCTTTTTGTCATCTGGGTCTCTGATGACAGAGATATGTGCAAGCGGTAGGGCCAATAACATTCTTTTCTGGACAAGTGTGACTTCTCTGGACTTGTTTTCCAGTCTGAACTAAACTACACTCAGGCAACGGTACCAGACCCCTTCTGCTTCCAGTCATCCAAGTCCTGTGGCAGAGACTTTCATCATTTGTGGCTGTAGATGATGGATCATGTAGTGTGCTTTTGTGTGGTAGCTGGAAGCATGTAGGCGAGCATTGCTGCCTCTGGTATATGACAGTATTTAGATGCCTGTTAGGGACGTGGGTGGCGCTGTGGGTTAAACCACAGAGCCTAGGACTTGTTGATCAGAAGGTTGGCGGTTCGAATCCCCGCGACGGGGTGAGCTCCCGTTGCTCGGTCCCTGCTCCTGCCAACCTAGCAGTTCGAAAGCACGTCAAAGTGCAAGTAGATAAATAGGTACCACTCCGGCGGGAAGGTAAACGGCATTTCTGTGTGCTGCTCTGGTTCGCCAGAAGCGGCTTAGTCATGCTGGCCACATGACCCAGAAGCTGTCTGCGGACAAACGCCGGCTCCCTCGGCCAATAAAGTGAGATGAGTGTCGCAACCCCAGAGTTGGTCATGGCTGGACCTAATGGTCAGGGGTCCCTTTGCCTTTACCTTTCGATGCCTGTTGCATAGTTTCATTCTGATATCTAGAAAACAGACCATCCAGATCAGGCAGGAGTAGTGTGGAAGTCACTCAAATGCTGGGAAAGCCTATATTTCATAGCCTGCAAACAAATAAGGCCATTTTTGGGGTAGCTGCATGTTTTTGGTATCCAAACAACATCCCTCTGTGTGCCATGCCTTTCCCCCCCATTTCCCTTAAGTTTTTTCCTAGAACATGCTATTAGTATGCTTCACTTCAAACTGCCCTTTGCTGGAATACATTTCCTTCACTGTTCCAGAAAGGACAGCTGACTTAACTTTGCCTGCCTAGGTTTACAACCCAAAATGGAAGCGGCTCCCATGGTCTGCAGATACAGGCTGCTCCTAGCGCCTATAGGCCGGGCGAAAGGAAAGAGCAGCCCCACCATGGCTGAGGCGTCATGACGTGAGAGACCAGCTTTCTCCCTCATGAAGGAACGTCGAAGTCTATTAGGGGAGAATGGTTTTAATTACTGACATCATTTCTAAGCAATCTTGCTAAAAAGTGACCATTTGTGGTCAGGGAGGGCATGTGCTGGAATGGGGGGGGGGGGAGCATGTGTTTTGAGGCTGCAGAGGGGAAAGTTTCCATCCCACAGCAAAACTGGCTTAATAACCATTGCAAACCCAGCTCTATTGTTTGAAACTGAAATGCTCCAGTCAGTTGCTAGACAATAAACCTGTTGCTCCGAAAAGAAAGCAGTTGTTCAAAAGAGATGTTGAGGCTTTGGCTCTGTCCTTCTTTGGTGCCCTGCAGATTGTTCACACACTCCGATTTTCAGGAAAATACACTGTCATTTTCATAGCGTACAATACAGGCCATTCTCCCAGGCCTAGGGTTGTAACCAGTGTCTTTTTGCATAGTGTTCCGCTGGTGCAGTGGGGCTTCTTCTGTGCATGAACCCCAAATCTGCTCCAGAGGGCCCCCAAACCACTTAGTGCTGATTTTAAGTCTGCACAGGGGACAGGAAAGGAAGAGGGAGCTCTGTTGGCTGCACAGCAGTCTGTTGTGCCAGCCGAACTGCAACATTGGATGCAGCCTCTCATTTCTGGTAATTTTTCACTGCATAACACTTGCATCCAAAGTTGATCCTGGTGAAATGGCAGCGGCTGTGTCAAGAAAAGCATTGCACATCACACACTTCCTTGAAACAAGCTGCTGTCGCTGCAGTTTTCGGTTTCGTGTTGGGAACCTCAACTTCCTTTCTTCATTAATTGCAACTTTATTTTATAAGCTTGCTTTATTTATGAATGAATGACATTTCCAATCCACTCTTCATTGCCAGTGCAGTTCTAGAGTAGGTTACAATTAAAACAGATCAACATACATAATAATGATAATCACTGGTGGGGGGGGGGCAGATAAATTCCAACCAGCCAACATTAAAACAGACATAAGTTCTGGCACTGAGCAAAAGGCTGGCGTCAACGGCTTTAAAGAGTAAGTACCAGCCATTGCATATCTCAGAGAAGACAAAGTTCCAGAGCTGGAGCACCATCAACATGAGAGAAGGCATTCAGGGATCCGGGCCCAAAGCTGTATACAGCTTTGTAAGTCAATACAAGTACCTCGAAACCATGAATGCCATTTGCTTTAGAAGCTTAGTGGCTGGATGGCAGATAACAAGAGTCTTATATTTGTGGCTGGCTTGCAGGATCTGTAAATTCATCTCTGTGATGAAAGGAGCTGAATCACCATGCACAGATAGCAAGCTTGGGCCCTTACTCATTGCAACATCTTCTGCTTACTATATTCATCCAAGTTATGCTAATTCCTTGCAGAGATAATGCAAACGAGTCTCTGAAGTACATTTATACTGTGGTACCTAACTTTTGCCCATCTGACATTCTGGACTTTGGACCACACACCCTCAGATGGTGACACACATTCCTCGTTTTGGAACTTCGCTTTGTACACGAAGCAAGTTTTGAGAGAGGGAGCAAGGCTTGCCACTTCAGGTTTCTAATGCACTGTAATTTTGTAATGCCGAACCTGTGTTATCCCTGGTTATCTGAGACCCTACTTATCTGAAAGGACTAATGCATGCTGGTAACTTGTAAGGCTTACAGGGTCTCAGGCAGCTGCCTCTTATTGTGCAGGCAGGTAACTGCAAATTAGACTTAATCATCTGGTTCACCTCAGCGCTGCAATACGAACCATGTTTAAATGTTACCTCACAAATGAGAAATAAAGCGGTTCAAGTACGCCAAGCCTTCATCAGATTAAATCAGAAACAAAAGTTTTATGTACAGATGGACCAAAGTGGTTGATTTCCAGCATGGGAATGGGGTCAAGCTGTATCATAACTGCTTATTAAGGTGCCTGGAGATCTGGAGAAAAGGAAGTGGTGCAGCTTGGCAGGGCCTTGTGAAGATTTCTGTTTACAACTCTACTGTGCTGCATTAGCGTTGGCCAACAGAGAGATCATTTTGGCTGAATGAATTGACTGAAGCGATTTAGTCCTGATTCAGCGGAGTGATCAGGGAGGCAGTGGTGCTCGCCTGCCTGGCAGTCAGAATCTGGGTACCACTTTGTACTCTCAGCTTACCCAAAGGAGGAGGAGGTACATGTAAGTTTGATCCCCACAACTGACTTGCGCTGTAACAGATCTGCATGTGTGACCTGCACGTGTCACGTGAATTGCTGTCGCTGGGATGGGAGCCACTGCCTCTCTTTGGTCTGACCTTGATCGCTGCTTCCTATCCCAGAAGGATTTTATATTTAATTTTCCTTTTTTTTAAAAGGAAATGAAAATTTAGGAGGTACAAATCATGAACATTTTCCTGCTCTGTCGAAATGGGATCTGAATTTTTCTTTTTTCTTTTTCTCCCATATAATTGGAGCACTGGTCAGTTTCATAAGTACTGTATATCTCCCGACTCTGTGCGCTAGAATCAGAGCCATGCAGATAAGGCTGTCATCAGAGATAACAGCAGTCAACAACCCACAGTGTCATTATCTCAGCAAAGGGAAAAAAGCAGGCAGCTCCCCTCAATATACAAACTGCAGCAGTTATATATGTCTCCTTTACAATGATAGATGGGATGGGATAAAGGGGGAATCTAACAGAAAACCTTCAAAGCCTGTCTGATTACATCCTCTCTGTTCCAAATGGTGAATATTCTTTCCCCCCCCACCCGCCCCCGCCGCCTTATGCAGAGCAAACAATGTGCTTCCCTGTGTGTGAGAGAGACGTGAGAGAGACCAAAGTGGCTGCAATAGAAAACTCTCACTCCCATGAACCTTTATTCAAATGGAATTTCTTAAGATGAAATAATGAAGCACTGATTGTCAAATATGCCCAAGTGGAAGGCAAACAAATCTGCCAGATCAGGGCTTTTTAATTTGAAAAAATAAATAGAATAAACGCGAATTTATTTGCAACCGCTTGATTCCTCTCAGGAAACATTAAGCCCTCCCTTTTACTTTGCATTCCAACTTCAACAGCATAATAATCTTCAGAGTATGCCTGTGTTGTGCAAACTGCTGAGACTGAACAGTCTGCAGTTGTGTGTGTGTGTGTGTGTGTGTGTGTGCGCACCCGCGCACCAGAACCAACTTCACCGCCACAGACTGCTGCTCCCAAACACTGACTTTTGTCTCAGCACCAATATACCGAAACATCTTCACAAAGGTAACAACATGTTGTAATTGCCCTTTGAGTGTGCAGGCAAATTGCAAAGCACCAATCCAGTTGATTCCAATTAAACATCCTCATCAAAGAACACTGAATTCCAGAAGCAAAATGTATCATCATCACCACCACCATTATTAGCAACAACAACAACAACCATAATGAGACGTGTGCAAAAAGCAAAAAAAAGCATTTAAAAATTGTTTCTGGCCCTGTTTTCTTCATGCTCATTTCTGAAGTGACAAGAAAGACACAAAGGGGCATTTAATTAAATCAAAGGGTAAGGGAGAGAGAAATGGCCGTGGTGCCTGCTATTATGTTACAGTTCACCAAAATGAAAACTTATTTTTAAACCTCTGGTATTAATTTGAGATTATTCAGATACTTAATTAAAAGTGCAGCATGTGTTAAATATTATTTCAACAAAGATTATCATCAAAACCCTATGTAATAAGATCCTCCAGTGCTTAGAGCAATATTTTATGCAAATTTTCTGTGCCGCCAAATGAAGGTCCCTTCCTCCCCCCCCCCCCTTTTTTTTTTTGGCTCTGCAATTTGCTGCAGCAAAATGCTCCAGCCAGGAGGAAAAGTTTCTATAATAGCAAAAATACTTATAGATAACGTAATGCAGGATATATCATCTTGGCGGTAAACATGCCTTCAAGATCAGCTCCTTTTGCTGATAACGCCTTCATCTAAATAAATAGAGAACAAATCCTGCAGACCCAGAGTCTACGATTCTGGCTGTAATTAATTGGGGTAACTTTGCACTCCACAAAGGCTGCAAAAATTTGGTTTTATGGGAATCTTGCTACAGACTGCAGGCTTTGGCCACACCACTACCTGTTAGGAATTGGCCAAATAGTCTTATTAGAGAGAAATGAGATTGTAAACTCTGTAGGATGAATATTTCCTCTCAGAGCCTGCTCCTTTACTCATGTGAGCAATCCCAAGTCTGATAGGCCTTATCATATGCATAATGTGCCAGCATCTGGTGTTTGCCCCAAACTTTAAGATACCTGTTTTTAAATTTCAAAAATTAATGCATTCTGAACAATTCATTCTGATTTAATGCAAACCACAGTGAAGTAAAAATGAGTACTGTTGAGACTCATCATACCTGTATCTGCTGAAAGTTAGCCACGTAAGTCAAAGCTAACAAACTTCACAAAGCAAAGGCTTGTGAAGGGCGATGCACAGGTAGTGAATTACAATTTTAGGTGCCTTAGGTTGGAAGATATTTAAGACTTTTTAAAAAGGATGGTCTGCAATCGCTGCATATTGAATTAGCACAAGTCATGTTTACTATTCAGTAAATAGTTGTTCTCCTGGATATGCATATTACAAGATGTGAAGCCAGCTCAAGTGTAGGCAAAACAATTATCACCAGTTTGTTGATTGCTTCAGCTATGACCTGTGAGAAGATTAAAAACCTGCAAGACCTTTGAAGATCTGAAATTGTTGTTTCTGTTGCATGATAATAGTATGAACATGAGGCACTCCAACACATAGTATAATTCCACTGCTTCAGTTTCTCTTTAGGATGCTGGTCTAACAAAACAGCCTAGGACATAAAACATTTTTCTTGAATTGCAAACCATGGAAATGCTATATAGCTCCTAGAATCCCAAGACTTTAAATGGCGACATGGTCTGAAAAAGTGGTAGCTGGTAAATTGCCCTGGCTACAGAAGGAATGGTTTAAAAGCATGAATAATAACAATAATCAAACAATCCAAAGGAGTAAGATGCCAACCTTTGCTTTGGATTGTGACTCAAGAACAGGAAGAGGAAGGCTCCTGTGTATTTATACACTGAGCATTAAAAGTAATTCATTCTGACCACCCTTGATGTTTACTTAAAAAAAATAACAGGAAGTAAATTGGTGTGTGAGAGTGAATGAGTGAGAGGTGTGTGTGTGTGTGCGCACGCAAAATGATGGAATCGTCCAAATAAATGCTCATTGGTATTGACAGTTTTTGACTCTTCTCACATCTGTTTATGGATTTTAAAAAAAAACACCAAAAAAAACCCCTAAGGAACAAGAACTCATCTACTAACTTGTTTGCTAAGTGTAACAACATTTTAATCATAATTCTACAGGAGCTTTTATTTTTAAATGTGTTCATTTATATGAAATGAATCAGAACATCTTCAACAGATGGTATATTTTACCTTAACGGGGAACACCATCAATTACACACACACACCCATACAGCCATTTCTATGACTTAAGCGAACACATCTATGTTTATGTGTTCTATTCATTAATCAAACCCTTTCTGGAAGAATCATTCTGTTACAACATCATACCCATTTGCTCTGTGATTTGGGTAGAAGTTGAGTAGCATGTTCCATGGAGGGGGGGATAAGTTGCCTTCATTTTTCTCAGTGACATAACAAATTGGAATTGTGGGAATTTTATCCTGAAAATTGGGTATGAATTGTAACTATAAATACATTGTAAATACAAAGCTATTACTTCTCTGCAAAAATATATTATTATTCCCTCATATGTCCAGTTTATAGGCCAGTGTAGCAAAAGTGGAGTTTTATTTTTGGATTATTTCTCTCTCTCTCTCTCTCTCTCTCTCTCTCTCTCTCTCTCTCTCTCTCTCTCACACACACACACACACACACACACACACACACACACACACTATCTAGCATCAAAAGAAACAGGATAGCACTGCCCTCTATTGGCCTGTGGGGAGAAAATCAGACTCCTGGAGAGAAGTTTACGGAGAATGAGGGGGTCTGACATCCTTAATCTCTACTGCCTGCTAATTAAAGACTTCTTGGACCTATCAGTTGTCATGAAGGAATCAGTGATTCTTTTTATTGTGTCATTTTCATCCCCATGACAACTGAGTCCAAAGGACAATGAAAATATACAGCCTGATGAAGCTGTTAAACAAGTATGAAAATGCCTGTGTTTTTTGCCCAGCAGTCTAAACAATGTGATAATGGCAATAATAGCTCTATTCACAACACAGATCTCTCCCAGAACAACTCTTGTAAACTTTCACTATCTTAACTGTTAAACAAAACTTGGACTTTATCAAGAACCCTTTGTGCTTTATCTCACCACTTTATTTATGTGCTATGAAATGATCCAGATAAGTGATAGAGCCTATCCAGGAAACTGAGAAGCGGGGAAGGAAATTCATGCAAAAGAAGCTCAAAAGCCAGGCGAAAGATACAGGGCTCAATGAAACCGAAGGAGAGCAGCAGGGAGGAAAAGGAGAGCTGGGAAGAGTTACAGCTCAGGAATACCAGTGCAGAATTGCTGCAGGCAGCTTGCTGGAATGGCCTTGCTGCAAATAAAAAATAAAAAAGTTTTAAAAACCTGAATGCAGCATGGGTTCTCTGTGTGTCTTGTGCAAGGTAAACGCCCCCGTTTGTCTTCAGAGTCCATCCACATGACTGCAGAGCGTGTGGCTGGTAGCTTGTTTGAGCCGGGCTTGCAATTTATTTATGGGGAGTAAGTTGCATGATCCCCATCACCCTAGTTTGAGGCACCATCACTCAATCCCTTCCTGGAAGGTTTGCGATATTACTCTCACTGTGACTGAGGCAGGTTGATGGTAGAAACCCTTAATCCACTGCTATTTTTCTAGAAAAAGAGGTGCCAGAACTCACCATGAACGCCTCCCTTGTTCTCTTATAATGGCAACAGTGCCCACCTGAGACGTGTCGGAACTGAGTTCCGGCTGGGGAAAAAAGCCCTGCCTAAAACTGCTGTTTGGGCTGAGGGGAAACGCTAACAGAATTCAAAACATTTCCTGCTTCTGATGGATCCAGCATTTCTCTGCAGAACCAGAGGTGTGGCCAAACTGGAGGGAGGGGACTAGCAAAGTAGTCATAAGGGGACATCTTGCAGCCAAGCTCCATGCATACTTTGTGGTATAGACAAGTCTGCTAGCAGGAAGAAGTTTATATATGGGCTCCAAAGGGCAGTGAGCAATTACTACATAGAGGCAAAAAGTTGGCGAAGCCCAACAATTCTGTGATTTTTCAAGAGGAAGATGGTGGCTCGGGGAATATGGCTCCATCTTCCAGAACATCTTTCCTGTTCACAATTACTTTTAGCTATTGTTCCTATGAGTTGGAAGAACATTGAGGGGTGCTTGTTGATGTTGTTTTTGTCCCACAAAAACAAAAGTTTGCCACATTGGTGATGTAAAGAAAGTTCATGGAGGGAAAGGGGGGACACCCTGAATTAAAAACAAACCCCTTAACTGCATTTTAATCTCTCTGATCCTCATTACTTTCGGAAAGTAGATAAAGTTAAGGAGACACAGTTCTCAACTCTTTTGCCTTTATGACCCTGTTATAAACCTTGATGGCTTGTCACAAGCACACGCCAGAATCACAGCCGTGGACATCTGCATCTCTTTCACACATTCTAGCAATTCTGCTCGGGGTTGTAATGTGCTGGCCCCGAGAGCCAGAGACGTGGATGGGGACCCCGAGTGGCAACGTGAAATGTGTTTTCAGTTTGGTCATGCTATTTGAGATAGCTGCTTGAATTCACAACAAATAAATAGAAAAAAGGTCGAATGTAATGGATCTGGCTTAATGAGATTTATCCCTGTAAATTAAAACTGTTTTGGCCAGCCACGAAGATCTTATGTTTGTTTGCTTGTATGGTTCAGGGCATGGTGCTCATTAACACCTAGAGACACTCAGATCACATGTTAAAGCCAAAAATCTTTCACACCCTATAAAGGAAAAGTCAGCTGTCTGTGACCAATGGCCTCCTAGTCACAGGCTGCTCAGCTACTCGGCCCACAACAATAAGGCATCATTTGAAATCCCTAATGTCCTTTAATATATATATATATATTTTAAAGTTACTTATTCTCTGCCCTCCCCTCTCCTACCTTCCCTTTCCTCATTGGTTTTTCTTTTTGAAAATTTGTAGTAAGTTGCTTTCAGCTGTGGCACAATCCTGCCAATCCCTATTAGTCTCAGCTGTTTCTGCAAGAGAATCAAATGCGTGATTCATCCTTTTCCTCTGGAATCAATGGGACTTTAGCATGGTTAGCTTTGGTGGGACTTAGGATGAGAAAATTCAAATGTAAATTAAGTTACAGATTGGCTTTAGGAATGGCCTCCTAAGTCCCCCTTAAACCTCATTTGCCAAGGCAAGGCTGACATGCCTCTCTGTGACATCACTGCAGCTAACCCAATGATAGGCAGCAGTCCTGATACTTCTGCCTACATAGAACCATTTAGAAGACAGTTGCTCAGCCACTCATTGGCAGATGATACAGCAAGTTAAAACCTGACAGGCTAGTCAGGTTGCATGTGTCAAGGACGTTGCATGTGTCAAGCAAGAACTAGCAATTCAAGCATTCCTGCTTTGACCTTTATTTCCCAAGAAGTTGGTGAAAAGCCATTCAGGACCACCACGAATAGACAATTCTGTGCAATGTGCATGGAAAGGTCAGTTTGTTAGTCAGGGCTTTTATTCAGCCAGAACTCACCAGAACTCAGTTCCGGCACTTCTCACGTGAGAACGAGGCAGGTGTTCATGGTGGGTTCTGACACCTCTTTTTCTAGAAAAATAGAAAAAGGGAAGCAGAAATAAAGTTTCTGATATCAGTGTTGTCTAGCTTTGAATGGATGTTTGTTTATTTATTCTCGTTAAAAGCTAAATGGCTGAGGGCAGGAGAAAAAAGCAGATTGGACACATTCATGGAGGAGCTGGCTATCGGCAGCTTCTTGTCATGATCAGAGGAGGAAGTATGCCTCTGAATGCAGGGGGACAAGGCGGAGAGGCCCAATCTGATGTTATTGCTTCTATAATGCAGAACAATCTCTCTCTCTCTCTCTCTCTCTCTCTCTCTCTCTCTGTGTGTGTGTGTGTGTGTGTGTTTATTTAGAGATTATTTATCTGTATTTTTAATTTACAAACATTAAGAAGCCAAATCAAGTACTGAACATTTTGATAGGAAACTCAGTTGACCGGTTAGCGAAAACTCTCTGCCTTTCAAAAACTGGGCCACCTCCCACAATGCCTCGTAATTGCCTTGAAAACTCCCCTCCGTTTTCGGAGAGGTTGATTACCTAAAATTCTCCAGTGCTGCCCTCTCTCCCTATTATGGATAGATAATTGAAGCTGTACAGTACACACAGACAGACAGAACAGCAACAATTATCTTTCCACTGATATGATATAACCATCAATAATGTGTGCACAGCATACCCTACAAAGGCTCTTTTGTGGATATGGAGGGAGATACATAGATACAGTTGCAGCAGCCCCTGTATCTAGTTAAGAGTTGAGCATCGGGAGACCAAAAATCTACTTGTCACCCTTATTACTACTGCCTTTGTGCATGACCTTGGGCCAGGTATTTACATTTTATACATATCTCTCTTCGTCGGTAAGCCCACTGGGCACTAACTCTGTTGTATTCGCGTTCTGCAGCACTCCTAGTTCACATTCAGTTGTTAAACACCTTTTAAATAAAACAGTGATTGATTGTACCCGATAGAAGCGCTGCATAATTACTCCCCCCACATAAAAAATAAAACCCTTAAGGTATTTCAGGGATGGATTGAGCCTCCAGTCTCTTAACCCAGGAACAAGCCTCCCTGAATCCAGTGGGAGTGACTTACAAAATAAACAGGATTGTTCTGTGTATATGAGTTCTGAAGTAGTAATACTAGTCGTGGTAGCAATGTTTAACATCTACAGTTGCATGCATAGGAGCTGAGCTCACTCTGGACACACACACCCCAATATTTGAGGCGGCCAGGGGCCCCCAAAGGTGATGGGCATTGCCATTCAAATCATGAGCATCTGAAATGGTGAAGTTGATAGGGCGGGGCTTACCTGGCCCTCCCAATATTTTATTCAAGTTGGCACCCTGATATTCATGTGTTAATGCTGCTCACTTCTAGGTAAGTAGCTATAGTATTGCAGCCTTGCAGTACCATCTTAGCCACGCCTTCTCAAAATTAAGTCGCAGTAAGTACTCTTCAAGTACATAGTAATTTTAGAGTGTTCAAAGCACCTGACATACAATATCTAAGGAATCCTTACAACACTCCTGCAAGGAAGTCAGTGTTGTGGCCATCCTACAGAGAGGAACTGAAGCCAAGGCTGCCAAATGAGTTCATGGTAAAAGCAAATGCAAATGCTACTTCCTGGTTCACAGATTTCCTGGTTCCAGATTTTCTGGAAAAAAGATGCTCACCATGAACACCTCCCTCGTTCTCTTATAATGGCAATGGCGCTCACCTGAGAGGTGCCGGAACCAAGTGATGGCTGAGAAAACTAAAACCCTGACTGCAACAGTGGTGCCTCCCCTCTCTGAGAACCAGCAGCTTCAAAGCCTTGGGATGTAAGAGTCTCCTTGCAACCCTAGCCAAGTGAGTCCTGTTGCATTCAGATAAATGTGATAGGAGCTGCAGCCTCGGTTCTCATGCCTTTGTCCCAATCTTCCAACAGTATAACTGCAACATAACTTTTGCAATGACAACAACATACGTAGTCAAGTAACTTAAAGGTGAAAATGGACGGCCGCTCTTGCCACTCACAACTTTAGAGAAAAATCCAAGATTCCTACGTATAATCGCATCCAGATTGCCTTTGCAGTTGTTTATTATTTATTCAAACCCGCTTCTTTATTTGCCCAGCTATTTTTGCTGCGTTTTATCAATGCACATGTGTTGCAATGGCAATGTAGTGAAGCATGTGGCTGTGTGCCAGTGAACTGATGGACTTGAACACAGTGTCAAACGGCACATGTTGCAGCTCTAGAATTAATGTGAGAAATTCTCCGCATCAAACCAAGATTCAGAAGAAAGAAGAGTGCAGGGCAAAGAGAAATGAGAAAGGGAAGGGAATGGGGAAAGCCTTCTCACCCCCTTTATGTGGGGCACAGCCCAAAGACATAGGCTCAAGAGCAGTGACCTCCCACCACTCGAAAGGGGTGTGGGGATCGTATGATGGGGGCCTATGCCTATCCATGCGTCACACATTATCCTTCATTAATGGTGGGTGGCAGGCAGGAGCCAATCACTCCTGCACCTTGCCCCACACCCAGGCTATGAGCAGGGGTCATGGCCTAGTGGTAGTAGGTCTGCTTTTCATTTATGAGGCCACAAGTTCAATGCCGGGTCCTGTCTGAAATCCTGGAGAGCAGCTGCCACTCACTGCATAGGAGGCTTTCCTGTTCTAGATGGGCCAATGGTCTGACAATGGCAGTGTTCTCCAAAGCAAGCCGCTGCGGCTGCCTCCCCCACCTTTTGTCTCGCAAGCGCCTGAAATTCTGTTTTTAAAGCATTGCCATGTGGCCATTTCTTTCTAAAACCACCCTCTCTGCTGGAGTGCTGAGGTGAGGGAGGGAGGGAGATCATGTGCTCACTTAAAACCTTTTATTTCTCTTGTAACACGGACATCTTGGAGAGGAGATTAACCAAAAGAGAGCAAGTGAGAGAGAGAAGCAAATGGTATTACTGATGACCTAATCCTCTGTCTCGCAGAGAGAGAAAGAGGGAAGAAAGCCTCTTGCGATCGCGGAGGAGAAACTTGCCTTGTAAACTTGTCTCTGGTTTGAAACAGAAACAAGAATGTGTGCGGCTGATACAGAGACACCACTGGAAGCGGGGAAGAGCTTAGCAAACCTGAGATTTTCCTTTTTTAGAGCAGCAGAGGGTATTACAGCTGTGTCCTGTCTGCAAAAATAAATAAATAAATAACCCTGTTGAGGAAAGCAATGAGCTGAGCGAACTTCCCTTTAGCCATACTGTAATCGCTTATTGGTATTTCTCCCTCTCTCCCCGGCCACCAATCCCTAGCATCATGTATATACAGTACACGCCATTAGATCTTGCTTGCTATGGACTGAAAAGTTGAAGGTGCTATGAAAGAGGCATTGTTGCCAACAGCATGTACAATCAGCCCACATTTGGTAAGCCAGCTTTGTACTTTTGTGTCGCACGCTAAAAGTCTGTAAAAGCTGCTTGACCAAATGTGGCAGCGGGATAGAAGAAAGGTGTCTATGCGTCCTCACCGCTGTTCATGGTAGCTGTTTCGTATCACTTTCAGCCCTCTTCCCCCAACCCTTTCTGCGCCAGGTTGTAGGACAGTTAAACTATGGTTGAACTTGTACAAGATGTAGCGATGGGTGCCGACTCGGATGGCATTAAAAGATTAGACAAATTCATAGAGGGTATATAAAGCCATCAGTGCCACTGTCGAAAGCAGTATGCCTCTGGGTACCAGTTGCCGGGTAGGAATCATAGGCATCTGGTTGGCTGCTGGGAGAACAAGATGCTGGACCCATTGATCCTTTCGACTGATCCGACACACTTCTTACGCCCTCTTAACTACAAGGGTGCAATTGCTCCCCAATTCTGAAAAACTGAATTGCCCAAGCCCAAATTTGGGAGTTGCTATAGGAAATATTATTTAAAACATGTAGTAAGCTGTTATTCTTAAGTCATTTGCCATGCACCTGTCGCAGTTTTCTTCATGCCAGGAATAAATGAAGGGGATTGTGTTGGTGTAGGCAAGGACAGCCTAACTGCATGGTGAACAGTGTATATCATATGAGATAATGGCCATCATAGCAGAATAACTTCATTTGGCTTCCACCTGGATGCTGTAGCAAATAGGCCTTACCTGAGTATCTTTGAGATGGGTTTTCATGCCCTGCTGGATCTATGTACATTCAATGGCAAGCCTAGGTGTCGAATGGATCAAAATGTGATGGTTGAAAGCAATTACTGCAGGAGCCCAGGAACTGTCTCCTGAAGAGGTGATATGTTTGCTCCATGAAACATGTGATTTTCGCTATTCTGACTCCTTCTATAGCCAAGAACTAGGTATACTAGGCCTGGAGAGCTCTAATTGTCCTTCAGAACCTCTCTAAATCAATAAAGTATCTTATTTCAGTCTCCCCAAAGACAAAAGGAAAGTCTTGGTGGCTCCCCTGGCAAAGCAGATTCTCATGCCCAGGCCTATAGAAGCAAAGGGAGCAAGGAGTGTGCCTGCACTACCGCAGAGCAGGTTCACGGGGGAGTGACACAGAAGTAAAGAAAAACTGTACTGTGGAAATTACTGGGTTGCTGTGGCATCATTGATGTATGCAATAAAAATGGAAATATTAAAAAAGGAACCACATGAAATTGGCAGGGGAAGAGAAAACGTGTGCTTTCTCTGTCAGCCTGGCAGAGTTTCCCATTTACTCTGCATCCAGTGCCCTCCCACCACTAGTTTCAGAAGCAGTGCACACATGACATGAACCACAATCCACATTTGTCTGGTAGTTTCTTGAGAAATACTATGTTTGGATGTGTATCCCCCTAAACCAGCTTCAATCCAATTTGGAAATGTAAGCCCATGGATACTTTATTGCCCCTTTTCTACTTGATGATGTGGGCAAACAGTGGAGGATTTTGATGTGCATATGCAATTTGACATGCCGTGTTTGAGGAGGGGCATGGAACAACCTCGCTGTGTTTGAAGCTGGTAACGTGTAAACAGCCTAAGAATCATATTATGGGGCCACCAGCAGATGCATGAATAGATTCATATGGAGGTGGGGGTTTTTTTCCCTGTGAACCAGCATTCCTAGATGAGACACAACCAACCCAAGATGACACATGACCAGCCCAAGCCACCACCACTGCAGAAAATATTGTGGGATACATAGACACCATCCAAATAGGGTAGTAAAGGTAAAGGGACCCCTGACCATTAGGTCCAGTCGTGGCCGACTCCGAGGTTGCGGCGCTCATTTCGCTTTATTGGCCGAGGTCATGTGGCCAGCATAACTAAGCCTCTTCTGGCGAACCAGAGCAGTGCATGGAAACGCCGTTTACCTTCCCGCCGGAGCGGTACCTAATTATCTACTTGCACTTTTTGGCATGCTTTCGAACTGCTAGGTTGGCAGGAGCAAGGACCGAGCAACGGGAGCTCACCCCGTCGCGGGGATTCGAACCGCCGACCTTCTGATCGGCAAGTCCTAGGCTCTGTGGTTTAACCCATAGCGCCGCCCGCATGCCTCCAAATAGAGTACTGCTTCGCAAAAACAAGGGCACAAGCTTGGTGGTAAAACTAGGCCCTCCCATGGTGCTCATGGCAGGAGCACCCCATGCGTGAAGTGGCTCATAACAGTCGCAGGAAACGAAGACACACAAGCGAGATGGGTGGGTGCCGCTGTCCCTTCTGCTTTCTGACTTCAAAGGGGGTGGGCGATTAAATCGGGGCATCTCTGTAGAATGGGAATGGCCCGGTTTCAAGAGACACCGTCTTTTTACATACTGACCTAGCTGGAGAGAAAATGTATACATCTCAGTCGGAAACCTGAAGTGTTCTGCGAGGGAAAACGAATATGTTTTAGCCTTAAAGGGATCACAGACTGCAATTATATAATTCTTGTCAACTGATGTTAAAGATAGGCTGGAAAGAATGTATGCTGAGGCCCCGTAATAAAATGAGCTCCTTTACTCCTTTCAAATGTTTGTAAGCCTTGGAGGTTATCCAAAGGTCAAATACAGGAAAAGTCTTGGTGAACAGAAAACATAATCAAGAGCTTGCTTTTTTCTTTCTTTCTTTTTTTTAAATACTGGCCCTTTCTGTAATAAAATAAAATCATTTGTTAAAAAAAGAGGGGGTTGGACTGGCTGTGTCTGCTTAGATCTAAGGCCAGAGGGGCTGAGTTTTAATCAAATGCTGCTGTTCCGCCTTCCTCCCTTGCCCCCCAACCGTGCCTGCCAGTTAACATAGACTGAGCCCACTCTAGCCACATCAGGGGGTGGGATATCAGGGGAAGAGTGACTTCAGTCGCAGCTGGGCAAATGGTTCTATAAAGATGAGTGCAAGGTTCTCCCTCACCTGGGCTTCACTGAAAGAACAGAGCCAGGGGCTCCATAAGTATGCAAAGAACCAGATTCTCCTAAGTCAGTAATAGAGCTAGTAAGAATGCTTTGGGGTCTGCCCCACCAACCTGCCTGCCCTCAGCCAGCCCTGACCTACAACTAATCTGGTGGGTAGCACTGCCTGCCAGTTGTCTCTTTCTTAAATCTCAGTGTTGCCCTTGTAGAACTCAGCAGGAAGGATTGGGATAAAACCAGAATTGGTTGGCTCTGCCTGTCATGGGCTCTAGCGCCACCTAATGTTGGGCTCCCTGACTTTCGCCCTACCAGTCTCAATGGGTGTCAGCCACCCCTGGGTCTGTAGGCTTTAGTTTGTTGGAGGTGGATTCAGTCTGTGAAGACTGTCGATATGGATAGCAGAGAATGCCCAGGCATCAACTATACTTTTTTTGGCTCATTTCCTCATAGCTTCCATTACTGAACCCTATGTTCCTCTGCACCCGCTACAAATGATGAACTGGCTGCCATATGCACTGGTCTCATTTACCCCAAAAAGAAGCAGAAAAGTCAAAGAGCCCTCTAATTATCCAGCAGCTCTTACACAAAATTTACTCATGGCAAATCTTTGACTAACGTCTTAATCCTGTAAACCAACCTTTGGCAACCTGGTACCCTCCAGATATTTTGGACTACAACTCACAGCAGCCTAGCTAGGGTTGATGGGAACTATATTCCAAAGCATCAAGAGGGTGTTAAGTTGAAGAAGGCTGCTGTAAAGTAGCCAACAAATGAAGTCAATTATGAAATTATCCTGTTTAGGAAAGCTCATCTTATAAGCAAGCCCTGTACTCCTTTTCTATTCAAAATAAGAAGTCCCGAATTGCTTTACCAACTACATTGTTAGAATTGATCTCAGCAATGAAATATAGAGGCATGCCTTGGGTAGAACAGGGCAGCTGTTTCATATCTGCCCCAAACAGAAATCTTGGGACAGTCCTACCTTTGCCATTTGCATAACACATTCTCAGTGTTCACACATTAAGGGAAACCCACTGGGTATTTGTACAACACACCATAACATATTAATAATCTCTCAGAGTCATTAAGGCACCAGGCATTACCTCTCACTAGGCAAGGGTGTTAATCCAGCACCGAATGAAAGGGAAGTGCAGTACATTATCACTTTACTAAAAAATGAGATTTTCCGTTGATGTTTCCCATCTGGCTTTCTTTAACAGGGGAAGCCTGGCCTGAAGGGCTAAATTTGGTGGGAATCCATGAAAGAGACCTCTACTGGAGATGCTAGTGAGGTTGGAACTTTATTCCATTATCTGAAGCTCAAGGGAAGAGGAGGGAGAGTGAGGAATGCTCCAAGCCCACCATCTCTAAAAAGGCAACGTGCCTTAGGTCCTTGCCAAGGAAATCTGTAATTAATGTTCTTTGAGGCCATTTCTATGCAGCTGCGAACTGAAACAAAAAAGAATGTATATGGTCATTCTCTGGCTTGGACTTCCTTAGCCAAGAAGTTACGCTTCTGATCAATGCTGTTTCACACCACCCCAATCTCATATTCCAGGGGGTTCCAGGCACTCAACCAGGGTTTGGCTTCCATGCAATGAGGGACAGCAGAAACGGTGGTGTCTTTATGATATATGGTTTATTTACACATATACACAACCTGAGCTTATGATGGAGGCACTTACAGCATTAACACCTCACAAAGGTCTTGGTTCTCCCAGAGCCACAGCCTTGTTTCTTGCTTCTGCCTCTCTCACACCAACTCTGCCTTTGTCTTTCTAACTATCAGCGAGTTGAAGGAGGGAGGCCCACCCATTTTCCATCAGGCACACAGTCTCTTCCTTTGTTACCATAATGGCCCATACTTAGAGGCCCATTACCTCACCAGGAAGATAGCCTGGCTGTTCCAGGAACTGAATTCATGGTGGATCCAGGAATTAGAAGGGGCCCAGGCATACAGCCTATCACTACTGCAAACTCGTATCAATATATTAGATCAGTGCATGAGGTTAACTTTCTTGGGGCCAAGGGCAGCATTGGCCCATAATCAACACCCTGAGGCATACTTGCAAAAGAAGGTGAGAACTACAGTTCTTGAGGCTGCCTTGGAAAAGCCTTATTCTTCACTATTTTAACTTTTTTTGATTTAAAAAAATCATTCAATATTCATTGTTAAATTCAGTAAATTCAGGTCCTCTCTTTCTCTCTGTCTCTTAGGACAGACTTTGAGAAGGTGTCAATTTGCAAAAACCTTTCAGCCTCACAGCAATGGGCCTGCAAGAGTAGTCAGTAAAATGTATTTGTTAAATTTAAAAAATGGACTAATGGTGGTAAGGTCTTCCAGGGCCAACTAAATCACCTCTTAACATCACAGAGGGGAACTAGCTTTTCTTTTAATTAAAAAAAATGTTTGATTTAATTAAAATATATTTTACCATAATGGCATCACAGCAGGTGACCCATGGGAGAAGTCTTTTTAAAAAAAACAACAACAACACTATTTTTTAAATAAGTTAAAAAATGACAAATTGGGGTGCCCAAGGGGGGGGGGGGAATGTGGGCTATGGCTTAGCCACCGCTGAATTAGATCAATAGGTTGGATGGTGGCTACAGCACAAGTGGTACAAGTCTCATACTGAAGCTGATCAAACACAGGTTAGAGTGCCCAGCCGTGCCTACAGTGTGGCAGTGACAGCAGTGAAGAAAGTTTACTTCTCTGGCATCATTGTATCCTCAGGCAGCTGCCCAGCAGGGCTACTCTGAGTGCTTACAGGACCAGTGCAGGTCAGGATTATCAGAACACAGAGACAGGTTTGCAAGGCACACATCGTACACCCCCCCAACTCATTTTATCCTCATAACAACCTTCAGATGGGCTCTGAACCTGGGTCTCCTTACTCCTACTCCAACAATAACCACTAACCTTATTTTTATTATTGTAAGTTGTTTTAAACTGTTTTTATTGTTGTGTTTTATTGTTGCAATGTGCCCTGGGACCTGGTTATACACTCATGGACTCCATTCACAAGACCCTTTCAGCATGTCAAGATGTAAGATGAATCTGTCCAGTTTCAGGTTTTAATGCAGGTGAAACACTCCTTCAAAAGTGTCCCTATGAGCTCAGTTTGTGTGTGACTATGTACACAGTACTGACTGGGGATTTCAGGCAAGACCCTGAGGTCTCTGCCCACTGAGTGTCATTTGATATCCTCATCACAGTTTTCCTACAAGAGGACGATCTTTGTAAAGGAAAATGTGTGCTGCAGACTTGATAACAAATCACAACAGCTTTTTTCAGACTGCCACACCTACAGGTACGTCACTTGATTTCTCTACAAAATTATTGTACCCTTGATGACTGGCAGCTGAATGTGTGGACAGGCTACACTGAAAGGAATCATGTTTGAAGTGATCCAAACAATTTATCTGCAGAACTGAATCTCTGGTGGTCCTTTTGCACATTGAAGTCATCGCTGTTTATAGACTCCCTCCAAATGTAGGGAAGGAAATGGGGCTATGCCCCCAAGACTGCTGTGCCCCACTGGCCTTGCACCCTAGAGTTGGAGGTCTGAAAAGATGCACCTGGGGACATAAAAGATGGGTGTCCATGGATGTGCCAAACAATTGCAAATCCTGATGACACAGGGTTTCCTGTGGACACCTATGCACACACAACCGTATGCACCCAGGTGGCCCTTTCCAGGCCTTCAGGGTAAGGAGTGGGTATGGTCTCATTTCCCTCTCTATGCATTTCCTCTGTATGTGGAGGGAAGTTGCGAAAAGGGTTTTGGTATTGCAGTAAACACATGAACACAGAAGTCCAAAGTTGCGGTGCACCAGCTGAATCCAGGAACATGCTGCCATCACAAAAGCTTGTTTCATCTGCCCCATTATCTTTCTGATGTTCTCCCTGCATTGAAAAAGGTACTATGGCACCAGCCATCCAAACGCTTAGACAATAAAATTCAGAATTCTGTGCGTCTTTATTGATCAATGTTTATTGATGTTTCCCAAGGAAGACACACCATTAATGGGTGTGATTTGCTATTACTCAAAGAAGGTCCACTTGTTCCCACTACATACCATGGATCTACTGATCACATTCTGCCTTCATTGCATTTCAGTCTCATTTATTCCATTTTCCTCCAAGTTGTTCAGAAGAGTATCCTTTTGTCTCAAGCTTGGATTTCTTCTTCTGTGCCTCAGCTAAAAAGTCAGCAACAGATTTATCAGAATTGTCAATGCAAATATCAGAACTTTGCTCTGGGGGATCTAAGGGATTCTCCGGTCTACTCTTGTTAGGCAAAACAGTGATGTTGGAGAATGAGTTTGGCTTTGATGTACATGCTCATATTGCACTGACATCATGGTCCAAGCCAAGATAGGGTTAGGGTAAGGAGCTACCTGACTAATACCACCCAGCTCAGCAATGCCTATGTCATGCTGGCCACATGACCCGGAAAGCTGTCTGTGGACAAATGCCAGCTCCCTCGGCCTAAAGTGAGATGAGCGCTGCACCCCACGGTTGCCTTTGACTGGACTTAACGGTCCAGGGGTCCTTTACCTTTACCTTACTCTGAGTGGCAGCTGTTCTCCAGGGTTTCAAACAGGGACATTCCCTGCCCTACCTGAATATGCTGGGGCTTGAACCTGGGACCTTCTGCATGCTCGGCAGATGTTCTGCCACTGAGCTACAGTCCTTCCCCAGCCATTCAAGAGTCCTTTGGTTTCTCTTTCTTTCTGTCCTCTTGCCATAATTAATCCAACCCCCCACCGAGAACGCCTCCTCAAAATCCACCTTTTCCTTTGAGCCTTTTGCTCACTCCTCAACCAAAACAGCCTCAGTACATGTAACTGCTTTGTGACTCCCACTGCTGAAATTAAGATTATAAGCTTCTCAAGGGCAGAACCTGCTTGCTGTTAATCTGAAAAGCACTTTGTACATTGACGGCATAATAATCACAACAGTTACAACAGCAATAATATATAAAGGTCTAAGTTCTACCTCTGCTTTTGCCGATTGCAAAACCAATGCAATTTGTGATCGTGCCACCTTCTCTGCGGCTCTGGCTATTGCGTCAGACCTTGCCTCTTTTGCTGTTTCCGTCTTTGGCCCTGTACTGGCTTCTGATGCCTTCAGCTTGACTGCTGGTAATTTGGCCTTGGCTTCAGCTGCTTCTTCTGCTTCTCTTTGGGGTACATTTGTTCTTTCTTTCCCACGTGACATTTCTCAGCCTTTCCCCTTTGTTGCTGCTGTTCCTGCTTCCGTGTCTGCTCTTGATTGCTTTGTTGTGTAGCTATAAACACACACACACACTGCTTATCAGAATCTGAGAGTCTCGGACTGGCATTTGTCACTCTGAACCTCTAGCAAAATATGTCACCACCCCTAATTGTAAAGATTGCCAGGTAGAGACATCCAAGAAGGCTTCCTAAAGTCCTTTGCCTGGGGGCTGGAAAAATCAACATTCCCTGATGGCATGTGGGACAGCTAAATCCCTTCCCTCTCATCACATCTGAGAAAACAACTGTGAACAAAGGTTCCTACACCCCTGCCATGGAACAATGTATTCAGGATGCTGTGGGTTCATCAGCAATGGAATAGATATGCATTGCAGGTAATGCCTTAATATCATTGGCACTGTGAAAACAGGATGCTGGACTGGATGGGCCTTTGACCTGATCCAGCAGGCTCATCTTACATTCTTACGGCAAATAAGATGTTTCTGGACTCCCAACTCCCACCAGCCCAATCAGCATGGCCAGTGGTGAGGGATGATGGGAGTTTCAGCCTAAAGATCTGGACACCAGGATAGGGAGGGCAGGACAAGTCAATCTTCAAGTGACCATGGGTTATATCCAATGTTAGCCCCACTTTGAATAGATCCATGAAAGGTCACACACACAACTAACTTAGGTTCATTCATTATAGTGGGTCTTCTTTGAGTAGACCTTAGTTGGATACAAACCCAAGTGCTGTTTTCCCCCAAGTCCCTAGGCTGGCTTCCATCACACCTCAGAATCAATATCAAGTTTGCAATACTTTGTTTTTTCACTTCTGATCCCCTTGTATCTCCTTCCTCCACCTATTCTCACACCTTTGATTCTACTTGGACTTCTTTTGCTACCTTTGGCTGTCTTTCCATACAGGTCTCTTGTACAATGTTGCCAGCTGCCACTGCCAGTTGTTGTTTTTTAGGTTCATGCTTTTGGATTGCTAATACACAGGCTACCCTCACTGCATCTATCAAGTAATGGTCTGAGGACACCACCGCCTTGGCTACATTTGAACACATTTCTTATGGACATCAGTTTTGTGGGGATAACTATTTGGACATTTGGAGGGCTTCCATCCATTAGCTTATATGTTTAACAGAAGAAGGATGCACTGATGGTTGTTGTATCATTAATGTGAACTGCTGTCACTGGTATTATTATTATTATTATTATTATTATTATTTTCTATCATTTCTTATTTCTTATTTATAATTCTTTTATTTTTCCTTCCCCTCTTTGTTAAATTTGCAAATAAAGATTTAAATTAAAATGTTCTTAAATAAAAACCAACCGCAGTCCTGTCAAACTTCCAATGTGCATGCACTCTGAAAGCCTGTGTGATGAACAGGGCTGGATACCCATGGCTCAGATGCACTCCAAAAGCAACACAGAGATTCTTGTTCTTTCTACATTATGAAACGGTGGTGACATAAACAGTCAGCAAGGAGAACTACAGAAGAGAACTATGTCAATGCAAAGGGAGCCATGCTGGAAGGAGGAAGAGATAGTGCTGGGTGCTTGTCATATAAAAGTGAGGAGCAGAGCCACTGGGCAGGGAGAGAGAACAGCAGGAGAGAGAGGGGCAAAGTGGCTGGAGTATTTATATTCTGCAATTCCATGTGTGCAGAATTTTGCAGGGGGGTTACTGTCTGGTATAAGAACTGGGTATCTGGGAAGGATAGGCCTCATTGTTTAACAGCAAGATGTGACAGTAAAACAAGCAGCCTTGTAGCCCCATCCTGGCAGATGAAAGCCACTGCTTTGCTGAAGCTAACTAGGTCCAGCTCAGGTCAGTGCCTGGATGAGTGACCACATAGGAACCACTTTGATGCAAATGGTTGCATGGCAGAGGAAAGGTAGGATATAAATGCCATGAAATAAATAAATGACGTGTTTAAATGTAAGTAAATTGTAAGTAAATCCCACTGGTTAGTATTAAATTATATTTTATTCAGAGCAGACCACTGTAATTAATGGGCCCAACTTAGTCCAAGTAAAATCTAGCTGAATGCCACTCACTGAGTTCAGTGAAACATGCACCTCACGAGGGAAACACAGGATTTCAGCCTTTGGCCCCAGTCTAGCAAAAGTTATCTGTGACACAAGGCCCTTTCCTGGGCACCTACAGGTGAGGAAGGGAATCCCATCATGGATCTCGACCTTATATCTCACTTTTTCTTGTATGGTACAGTTCAAGGAAACTAACAAACAAGCCATAAGCGATAAGAAAATTATAGATTTCAAGCAAGCAGTACATCAATTAAAAACACCAGAATAAAAACTCCAGAAAAGCAGAAGGATTGCGTATCAGTTATGGCAAAGGTAAGGAAACACCCCAATGTAAGGGGGAAATGTAAGTTCTTAATACTGCAAGGCCAACACAGAGGGCAAATATTTCAAGTGTTTCACACACAGCCTTGTAGGTGCATTAAAAATACATCACTGCAATATAAAGCTTTAGAATGGGGGGGGGGGACCCATTAAAATAAAACTCAACAAGTCTAAAAAAACATTTCCAGAATATGGCTATTTGCTGTGGAAGAATCCTAACAACTGTGGTAGCCTTGACAGTGAAATCTAAGCATATCTATCTATCTATCTACCAACCTACCTGATTCAAAGCCCCTGCAATGTAAATAATTACACACACACACGCACCCCGTCCTGCAGAAAACAAAGGACAAGTTGCTCACTTTTGATGTGTAACTGCTGTTTAACGTTCCACCTGCCTATCTGGTTCATTAAATAGTAACCCTGTAGTTCTGCTGACAAGAACGTATTCTCTACCTCCGCTCCTCCACCCCCAGTGAGTTACCCTGAAGACTGGTCATGCTCAGTGACCAAGGAACAACGAGCTGCCTTTTCAGGCTGCAAAACTGCTGTCCTTTGGTCACACATGTACATTGGCAAGTCACTCATGCCTGCCTGAAGGCAGCCCTCGCAGCCCAGACACAGCCAGGCTTCCCTGCCTCTCCTGCCCCCACTTCAAGCACAATTTCTCTCAACAGGGACAATATGAGTCCATTACAAGTCTGCTGTGTTGCTGCAACAAGCCCCGGAAAATATCTATTTCTCTCTCTCTCTCACCTAGGCATGTGAACAAGGTTCCCGTGTTTTGAAATCGCTTATGAAATATCACATTAATTCAGCATTTGGTGCACTCACCAAAGCAAGCATACATTGACTGAGACTCTGCAACCATGGGATTGCAATGTCCTGGACAGTATTATTTTCAAAATATATATTTTTGTAAAACTTTTTCTGTTCATAATAATAAATCCTGCTGCAGTAGTTTCACTTTCCATCCCCTTTTCAGATACATATATATCGTATGTTTGTAGTAAAATTTTATAAACCAAAATGTGTTATGGGCTACATGGCTGGAATTTGTGCTGCAAAACACTCGTCAAAGTTCTTGAAAATAGTTGCAAAAGCTTATGAAAGAGCATTAAAATTATGAAAGGGAAGCAACGTGCAAAGCAGGATGGGCTTAACACACACACACACACACACACACACACACACACACACACACATATTAAAATAGAGCAAAATAACCTCACAAATTACATCACTACACTCACTTGCACTCATGGTGAACCAGGTGTGGACATACAGGGAAAAAAGAGTGCTATATAAACAGACATCACACCATGAGGAAGGAAAGTGTCTATTAGTAGTAACTTCATTGGTCTGGAAATCCTCAAAAGTGGTTCCTGTGCTTGGAATATAGACCAATTGCCTGTTCTGGATAGGGTTGCATTCCCTCTAAAGGAGCATGTATGTAGTTTAGAGCTACCTGGACACATCTTTGTTGTTAGAGGTCCAAGAGACTTCTGTGGCTTGGAGTGCCTTTTACCAGCTTCACCTGGTATGCCAGCCACAGCTGTATCTAGAAAACCCGCCCACTATAGTCCATTCATTGGTAATGGGTTACTGCGATGTGCTCTATCTATGTAAGGCTGCAGATGGGGCAGATGGCTGACAGCACCTAACACCTCTGCTAAAACATATGCACTGGCTACTCATATGAACAGGTTCAAGGTTCTTGTGTTAATATATAAAGCCCTGAGCAAGTTTGGTCTAGGATACCTTGATGACCACCTGAGCCCTTATATCACTGCTCAGGCACCAAGATCATACGGAGGACCACTGTTAGTTGTCCCTTGAATTTCAGAGGCCCAGCTCTTCAACTAGAAGCTGGGTATGTAGTGTGCTTGTCTCATGCAGTGGGACATTCTTCCAGCAGAGATTTGGCCTTTGACTTTCAGGTACTTCTTGAAGGCCTTTTTGTGCCAAAATGTTTAAAATGTTCTCGAGTTGCCAGTGGTTTACACGATTATTTTGTAACATTTTTGTGGTGTTTTACATTTCATAGTACTTGATGTTTTCTATGAGTTGGCAGTGTATAAATATATGCATAAATAAAATTTCCTGTGCAACCTTCATGCTCCTTCATGTTGCTTCAGGTTTCAGTGGAATGATTGTCCAAAAAATGGGTGTGCAGAATAGCTCTCAGATCCTGGATGCTGGATGATAGGGGAATCCATGTTACCCATGGATCTCTGTTGTAGCACATTCTATGCTCTCTGAGGCTTTAAAATGTTTCTCTGAAAAATCGTGTATGTTGCTGCATCAAACATTTGTGAGCATTGGTCTTTGCTCATGCAAACTGTAGGCTTGCTGAAATCAATGGGACCTAAAACTGCTTATTGTTGAATCATACCCATAGTCATTAAGCTCGGGTCATTAAGCAGCACCTCTGGGTATTCTCTAGAGAGAGAAAAAGTCTGGCCACTTACTGGAATATCACTCAATTGCTTCTCTGGACCTCTGCCTGATTATTATCACTTCAGAATAGCCTTAAGAAGTTCCCATACTTTTCAGAACCCTTGAAAAGCCAAGGTAATAATTGACAGCAAGGAGGGCAAACGTTCAATTCACGAGAAG